ACACGAGATTTCAGGACGGAAACATGTCAAATGTCTTGAAACAATCATCTGAACAGTATTGATGTGTGGTTGTGACTCCAAGCCGTTAAAATTATTAGAGAAATGCACTCCCGAAGTGGTTATTATGTGGCCACGTCGCCGCGCCTATTAATGGAATGGTCTTTCTCAGTCCTCAAACAAATTAAGAGCTACATTCGATTTTTTTTGACTGAACGCAAGCGCTTATTGCGATAGAAAACACTGTAACGGTTTGCACTGATTAAGAAATATTTTTGTTTGCTTGGGTGGTAATATTAGGCCTAACATATTAATAGGGAAGGGGGGCCCAAAAATTTGTTTTGCCTATGTCACGAAAAGAGGTATATCCGGCCCTGCATATTCTCACTCATAGACTGTGTTTGGCTATCTATGGGACCATATTGTGGATGTCCCTGTGCTCTTGTCCCCATTGCCGAGCCAATATTAAACCTTCTGCCTCAGCTCAGTCTGGTCACAATAAAAGTAGCAGCTGTTTAAAACCGTTAAAAGCTGTTGTTCATTTAGAGGTCTATTTTTACGCTGCCTTTAAACCATGATAAATTACAATAAAGCGGAAAGTTGAATTAGCATCTGATTGGGAGTTAGAGGGGAAATGAAAAGGCACGGTGATACACTACTGTTCAAAAGTCTGGGATCAGTAAGTCTTTTTCAAAGAAATTAATACTTTTATTCAGCAAAGGTAAAAGTAATAATAAATACATCTATAATGTTACAAAAGGATTCTATTTCAAATAAATTTAATTCTTTTTATTCATCAAAAAAATTCTGAAAATCATCAAATTTATCAAAAATGATCAAAAAGCACTATGGTTTAAATAAAAATATTAAGCAGCACTACAACACTGATAATAATAAGAAATGTTTCTTGAGCACCAAAAGCAGCATATTAGAATGATTTCTGAAGGATAATGTGACACTGAAGACTGGAGTAATTATGCTGAAAATTCAGCTTTGCCAACATTAAACATTAAAATAGAAAATATTTATTTTAAAATGTAATCATATTTCACAATATTACTGTTCTTACTACATTTTTGATCAAATAAATGCAGCCTTAGTTAGCATAAGAAACTTCTTTCAAAAACCTTTGAACGGTTGCATACATGTGAAATTCATCTTATCAATGGGCTCTATTATTTAAAGACCACTTTAGACTGACACGTCATGCATAATGTCTCTAGTTTCATCCTGAGATTTATGAAATGCATATCAATTTCATGAGTAAACTCAAAGCCTCTCCCTTTTTATTCCCTGCTTCCTCAGATGGTTGTCTATCTAACCCGTGCTTCGGGGGTGTTGACTGCACCAGCTCCACTGACGGCTCGTGGGAGTGCGGGCCCTGCCCTGTTGGTTTCCGTGGCAATGGAACATTCTGTGAGGATGTGAATGAGGTACAAAGGGAAAAGAGCTGGAGCTGGGAAAAGTATAATGTAGTTAGGGCTGTGTGACAAGCAATTGTTATACTGCATTACTCACAATTCAACACGGAAAGCATAGCCAAACAAAAATGTTCCTCCAGCCCTTGCTCCACTGATCCACTGATTTGAAAAATTATTCAGAAATGTTTTTTCAAACGTTTCCTAACATCTCTGTTTGCTTCTTCTGTCCTATAGTGTGACATGGTACCTGATCTTTGTTTTAAAAGCGGTGAATCCCAGCGCTGTGTCAACACAGACCCAGGATTCCACTGCTTGCCTTGCCCTCCTCGATACAAAGGCAATCAGCCCTTTGGAATGGGAGTGGAGGCTGCCAAGCTAAATAAACAGGTTAGTTATGCAATTTATGGACAGATTGGATCAATTATTGCACAAGTATATAAATGTGTTATTGCACAAGTATATAAATGTGTCATTAGCCTGGCTGAATCTCAGACAGCAAGCCTACGTGCCGCCCACAGTCTGTTTGCTGACCGTCTGATGCACATTAGATGATGTACAGATTTTGTACACAAAACTGAAAGTGCTAGTTCAAACGTGATGTATTCCATTTGTTTTCTGAGTTATGGTAAATAATCCATACTTTACTATTATTTTGGAATCAGCTATTTTATGTAAAACTGCCACTTCATGCCTTCTAAACAAAATTGTCTCTTCTTGTCTAATCGGACAGTTCTTTCCCAGAAATGACTGTGGACCATGCATTATGTTGTTTGTATTTATGCTAAAGTTATGGAACTTTTGCACAAAGTTGCTCCAGAGTGATAGTCTGAGTAGAAAGTGTATTCTGAGATATTTTGGACAAAGCATTTCTTCTAAATGAAAAAAATATTTCGGGCCCATAATGGTGGCCAAGCATATGGATCTTGCTCTAGTTCTTCCATTCCTCTCGGATTAATAAATTTTGCAGATTTCTTGGAAAGCTGACTCATTTTTGTCTAAATGTTTCATAACGTCCACAACTAATAGGTTTGTCACCAAGCTCCAGCTTGCATTGCTTTGATCCAGCGCCCAAGAGTAGTAAAATGACAAAGGGCTGAAAGGAATTGTCTCACATTTTATTGCTGCGATCCAATAGCTTTTCATATAAACTGCCCAGTTGTGCACAGCTGAAACCAACAAAATAGTAGGAAATGATCAATAGAAAGTGTTTTAAAACCCCTTAAGCTCTGTGGCGTTTTTGTGTATTTTCGCCTAAATTTGGCATACCCAAATTCAAATGTTTACCCTACACACATAGAATGGAGGAAATGAACAAAAATGGTGTCATTGTATAGAAAACCCTTTGAACTACAAAATATGGTTGTAATTCTTCATAAATAACATTATATACTGTATGTTTTAAATATTACAATAAACACTAAAAAAAAAACATTTTTTTCAGAATGTTTTTTTTTTTGAAAGTCTGTTATTCAGGTTCTATTTGCTCCAGCTCTCTGCAACTTATATTGTTTAATTCCACTAGGTGCCAAGATGTGCCAGAAAAAATTATCTTTCAAATAACAGCTTCTAAACAGGAGCTATTGAATTATAACCGAAGGGAGTAAAATTGTCCCTTTTTTGCGTCTAAAAGTGTCTTTGTGAGTTTCCTTTGCTAGCATCCATTGCCTACATGAACTGCCTCCTGCAGATCAGACGCGAGCTGCGCCGCTAGCTCCATGCTAACTGCTTCTGCCACAGGCTCACGGCTGCTATCTGGTCTTCAGAATGTGAAACAAAGAAATAGCTGATTATAAACATAGCACTGTAATAATATCCATGTATATTTACTGAAACGCATCCTGTACTGTACTTTACTGTCAATACATCGTTTATCAGATTGTTAGCTGTGCTTTTACATTTCAAAATAATGATTCTATCTAAAACGGAGCAAAAGCACTCATATGCGCTCACCAGACGCGCGTCCTTTCCTCTCCACCGCGCCGCTGAACGTTCTTCATCATCTTTAGCTTTTGGTTTACTGTCAAATATAAGTTTTATCCGTGCCGCCGATGCGTTTGCCTTCCAGCGTGCCATTATCGCCTTCAAAACAGTCAAAAAAACTACAAGACCCACGCTCAAAACAGCTCCAGCGCTGACCCGGATCCTCTCTTCTTCTTCTTCTCTCGAGTTTTTTTTGGCGGATTGGCAAACCAACGTTAAAGGTGCATGTCCGCCACCTACTGGTCTGGAGTGTGAAACGTACACGGTTCTCCCGGATCCTCTCTCTCTCCCTCTTGTCTATTGACCCAGAGGTGTCAAATTTCACGGCTCTCAGTGGCTGGCGCGCTTGAGTGGCGTGTAATCTGACCTATTGTCGCCCACTGAGCAGCCCAGAGTAGCCCAGAGTTGTAGAACATAAGAGCCGCTGGCCGGAGCTGCTATGATTTGGAGAGCGCGTGTTTGCCAAAAGAGAGTCTTTTTTTCTCTGGTGCGCTTCTGTTGCGCTTCTGTGACAAATCAAATTCCTGAGAATAAGAGCTTTATTGTGATATATGACTTGACTGTTTTGTGAAAAATATAAAAAATACACTATTAATAATTATTAGTTTAAAAAATTAAATTATTAGGCAGAAATTCGTGTGTGGGACAAATACATTTCTAAGCTTAATTTTACTGTTTTATGTATCATAAAACCAAAAGTAATGATATTCTTTGTAAAGAAGACACTCTAAGCTTTCAAATGATATGGGCTGATACCATATAAGGAAGGCTTTGCAAATGAAGCATAAATATTTTTTAAGTGATTTTGGACCCGTATCCGGGTTCGCAGAGTTTAAGTGGTTTCAGGGCCTCACAGCATAATTCCCAGTTGTCTCCTGAGGCTATGAACCAGTTCATTCACCATAATTGGACTGCTGTTAAGCATTTCTGAAGTCTGTTTATTTTTCAGGTATGCGAGCAAGAAAACCCCTGCAAAGACAAGACTCACAACTGCCACAGGTCCGCTGAGTGTATCTACCTTGGCCACTTCACTGACCCCATGTTTAAATGTGAGTGTAAGATCGGCTATGCTGGGGACGGCCTTATCTGCGGCGAGGACTCTGACCTTGATGGCTGGCCCAATCAGAACCTGGTGTGTGGAGCCAACCAATCCTATCACTGCAAAAAGGTAATAGAGTTATTGTCTTTTCTGTGGCTATAAGATAATTGACTAAACATGCGACCAATTAGGCCTAATTGCAAAAGTTTCTGAAAATAATTGCATTTTTGAAAGACGTCACTCATGCTCACCAATGCTGCATTTATTTGTTCAAAAATACATAAAATATACTTTAAAAATTACATTTTCCTGTGATGGCAAAGCTGAAATTTTAGCAGCCATTACTCTAGTCTTCAGTGTCACATGATCCTTCAGAAATCATTCTAATATGCTGATTTGGTGCTCAACAAACATTTCTTATTATTATCATTATTATGTTGAAAAGGTTGTTACTTCATGTTTTTTTGTGGAGACCATAATGCATTAACTTTCAAGATTATTTAATGAATAGAAAGTTTTTGAAATATAAATCATTATAAATGTCTTTACTGTCACTTTCGATCAATTTGATGCTCCCTTGCTAAATAAAAGTATTAATTTCTTTAAAAAAAATCCTACTTGTTGCAAACTTTGAACTTTAGAGTATAATTGCACATTGAATCCCTAAATTAATCCAGAAGTGTATTTTAAATAGTCTACTTAATTCATAGACAGTAAAACAGATGCTACATTAGTTGCATTCATTTTTAACACATTAAGTAGTCCTAAATGTTAATTTTCCCAACTAAGGAAAATAATATTTTTTTCCTTTTATCGTGCAGGACAATTGTCCCAACCTTCCAAACTCAGGCCAAGAAGACTTTGATAAAGACGGTCAAGGAGACGCCTGTGACAAAGACGATGATAATGATGGAATAATGGATGAGGGGGTAGGCAGACTTCTTAATTATATATTAATAAAAATTAGTCATGTTTTGTTTTTATGTAAACTAAGCTTTTTTTTCTCCCGTGCCCCAGGACAACTGTCCTCTACTGTACAATCCAAGGCAATTTGACTACGATAAAGATCTTGTCGGTGATCGTTGTGATAACTGTCCATATGAGCACAACCCTGCTCAGATCGACACAGACGGTAATGGCGAGGGAGATGCCTGCTCTGTAGACATTGATGGAGATGGTGAGAAACTACCACATGCATTCCCACAATTACTAAGTCAACAAAACTTGTTGTTTAAACCCAAGTGCATTTTTTAAAGTAAATATATAATATACCGAAAGCAATGCAAATGCCTCACAACAGTCAGGTGCAGATTTGTTGTTTTTCCAGATGGTTAACCGTTTGCTTGTGTTGCAGAGATTCTGAATGAGCATGATAACTGCCCCTACATGTACAATACTGACCAGAAGGACACAGATATGGATGGAGTGGGAGACCAGTGTGATAACTGTCCTCTGCTGCACAACCCTGACCAGGTACAACAGGCTCTATCTCAACTCTTTCCAGTAAACACAAGGAGGAATGTTTTGCAACAGTTTAACAAAGTCATTTGTATGTTTTAACAGACTGACTCCGATAATGACCGAGTTGGTGACGAGTGCGACAACAATCAGGACATTGATGAGGACGGTCACCAGAACAGCCTGGATAATTGTCCCTACATTCCCAATGCCAACCAGGCCGACCATGACAAAGATGGGAAAGGAGATGCTTGTGATTTTGATGATGATAATGACGGAATCCCTGATGACAAGGACAACTGCAGACTGGTGCCAAACAAAGATCAACTAGACTCTGATGGTGAGTGAATCTATTGCTTAAAATATCTTCAGTAGAAGTGTTTGTCTGAGTTTCTACTGACTGTGAAAAGAAAGGTTAGCACATGGATGCACACACAATAACAGTTATAGAAATGCTGAGACTTCATTTCTGTCTAGAAATGCAACAGTGGCTGAAATGTGAATTTTTTTTGTAAAATGGTAATTTATCTGCATGGCTAACTTTACAAAACTTTAAAAGAGTCAGAGCCAGTCCTCTTTAATCTGTTCATTTTTGTCCAAGTTTTTTTGGCCACATTTTTCCCTTTTGCATCCTTTGAGATTTAGACATATTTACAACTGGAAAATTTCCTTAAGTGTAGCCAGGGTCAAGGAAAATGATGTCACACTCTCACAGCTTGCATGTGGTTTGCCCCACTGTGCTGCATTTTGTTAAGGCTACCTTATTTTTTGTGTTGGTGGGAAAATGGAAACAGGTTACAGTTGGAGGTTGAAGTTGTCAGGTGCTAGCTTACTTCTCACACCTCATTATATTTTGTTTATTTGATAGTGTCAAGATGGTTCCAAAGAGAGAAAGTCAACTACTGTAAAAACAGACACATTAGCAAAGAGCTGGCATCTGTGCAAAAGCCTACTTGACTTTTCCCTTTTATTTGAGTGCTAAAGTCTGGATTTAATAGATTTCACATTTGAAACCAGTCATATGTTAATGTACATGACATGAAAAGACAGCTGAGATTGCTTTGTGCTTAAAGAGGAGAGCTGGGATACCAGATTAAACTTTCTGCTTCTTTTTTGTTACAGTATTTCTCCTTTTGGTGTAGCACTTACAATTTTATTACCCACAATACTCAATAATATAGTACAATATAATACATTTTAGTTCATTTATATTAATGTTCAGATTATGTACTAATAAATATTATAAAAAATAATTATTAAAATAAAATAAAAAACAGTAAAAATTAATAAAGAAAAATTTAATATATTACATGTAATAATATTCTGAAGTGAAGTGACATGTGGCCAAGTATGGTGACCCATACTCGGAATTAGTGCTCTGCATTTATCCCATCCAAAGTGCACACACACAGCAGTGAACACACACAAACCGTGAACACACACCCGGAGCAGTGGGCAGCCATTTTTTGCTGCGGCGCCCGGGGAGCAGTTGGGGGTTCGGTGCCTTGCTCAAGGGCACCTCAGTCGTGGTATTGAAGGTGGGAGAGAGCGCTGTACATTCACTCCCCCCACCTACCAACCTTTGGGTTACGAGTCCGACTCTCTAACCATTAGGCCACGACTTCCCCTGTACATTCCCCTGTAGTATAATATAAAACATTTTAGTTAATTTATATGAATATTCAAATTAATTAAATAATTATTAACCAATATATAATATAATATAATCACACTCGAAATTGTGGGCTGATTATTATTATTATTATTAATTGGCTAATTACTACTGTTTTTTTTTTATAATTATTTTTTAGAATATGTATTATTTACATTTTTATAAATCTAAATATTAATATAAATGAAGCATGTATTGTATTGTGTATGTGTATATGTTTTTGGTTGTAAAAAAGTAAGGATGGCAGATTTAACCACTTTAACAGATCTACTGATATGAATGATGAACTAATCTAACTTTATCTACAGGGGATGGAAGAGGCGATGTCTGCAGAGATGATTTTGACAATGACAACATTCCAGACATTTTGGATGTGTGCCCTGAGAACGACGCCATCGGTAACACTGACTTCCGGAAGTTTCAGATGGTGCATTTGGACCCCAAAGGAACTACACAAATTGATCCCAACTGGGTGGTCAGACATCAGGGCAAAGAGTTGGTTCAGACGGCCAATTCTGACCCCGGTATTGCAGTGGGTGAGTATGTGAGCTGTCAGAGTAGCCCGTCTGGTCATGATTTTTAATTAGAGTTTGATGTCTTTGAGTAAATGAGACTTCAGTGTTTTAATCGCTCTTCAGGTTTCGATGAGTTCAACGCTGTGGATTTCAGTGGCACTTTCTACGTCAACACTGACAGAGATGACGACTATGCGGGGTTTGTGTTTGGATATCAATCCAGCAGTCGATTTTATGTGGTAATGTGGAAGCAGATAACTCAGACGTACTGGGAAGTTAATCCTTCAAAAGCTTTTGGCATCGCTGGAGTTTCTCTGAAAGTGGTCAACTCTACCACGGGCACAGGGGAACACCTGCGTAACGCCCTCTGGCACACTGGTGACACTCCTGGACAGGTGAGGCTGACTGCTCAGCAAATATGACATCTGTTAGCATTCATGATAAGCTAATTGCTGCATGTGGTCTGGCAGGTCCGCACACTGTGGCACGACCCTAAGAATATCGGCTGGAAGGATTACACTGCGTACAGGTGGCATCTCATCCACAGACCCAAGACAGGATTCATCAGGTGATTAACGGGAAGGCCTTTAACTGCCACGTAATCTTGTCAAGTGTGTAGAGTTAACAGACCTATATTCCTTTTCTCCAGAGTGGTGGTTTATGAGGGGAAACAGATCATGGCAGACTCGGGGCCAGTTTATGATAAAACCTTTGCAGGAGGGAGATTAGGACTGTTCGTGTTTTCCCAAGAACTGGTTTACTTCTCTGATCTCAAGTACGAGTGTCGAGGTGAGTAGTTTGTCATAACAGAATGTGGCCGTTTATTAAAATGACACACTAATCTCTGTATAAAAATTTTATATATTATATACTAATCTCAGTATATCATTTTAGTGCTTTTATATTAATACTCAAATTAATTTTTAATAAATGTAAATGTTCATATAAATGAAGTAAAAATGCATTATTATATTATTTTATATTATATTATATTATGCCTATATTATATTATATTATATTATATTATATTACAGGAATTAATGATAAATATAATTGTAAAGTTTTATTATTATTCATGTGTATATGTTTTTGTTTTATACCTTATTTTTTAAAATGTATGTATTTATATAATATATTTGCATAAGTATTTGAGATTACTTATTTAGTAGCAAAAAAATGGGAATTGGTTTTATTTTTATTATTCATTTAAGACATTATTATTGTTGCTGTTGTTATTATTGTTATTGTTATCTGATAAAATATTGCATAGCATAACAGAAAAGACAAGCAAAGCCAAGACTTTCACTTGTTACAAGCCAGTTAACCACTTTTTTCTGCTTTTTAGATAACTGAGAAAGAGAAGAAATGACTCCCTTAAAAAACTATAGCACAACAACACATTTTCACTCTCTGACAAAACACAAAAGACTTTGGTGGACTACAAAAAGGAAACAGGCCCCAAACCTCCTCCTGAGGAGAAAGAATTAACTTAAATTACAAGCACATTTATGGGGATTTTTCTTATCAATGTTTTTGTGTCCTTGAGTCAGTATTTTTTAGCCAAAGTTTGGGTACGGTTAATTGAACATTACATGTGGTATTTCTTTACAAAATGAAACACAATCTAGAGGAAAAGCAATCACAAAGCTTCATCCTCTGACATCTTTATCACCAACTGCTTTACTTGCACAAGATTTTTTTACTTCCTGTGTATTGTTACAATGTGCAGAATTTTTTCTCCTTTGGATTTGTTGTTGTAATGAAGACAATAAGACATCTTTTTCTACAACCCTCGATTCTAACGGGTTTTGGGTTTTATCAGCATATAAATGTTTTAGAGACCTTTGAGATGAAGATGTTTATATTAAGACTGTATCATAATTACTTGTGTAAAGTATTTATATGACTCTTGCAATTCAGTATCAAGTTATGTCTGTTTTTTTTTTTTGCGCAATGCTTTCAGAACCTAGACATTGTAAATACTAATTTATTTGTTTACACTGACAAAATTTGACTATTGCAGAAATAAAGATTTTAAAAAGTACATTTTATTGCTGTGCTTCTAGACATCCATAATGCAATTTCATGCCTATGTAATTTTTTTACTTTTTCTAAAATAATTGTTTTTTTCTAATTCTTTTGATAGAAGTGTTTTTCAAATGTGAGAATGAGTGTGCTATTGTTTCGTTTAGTTTTTGTCCTGTGATGCCACACTGCATTTGTTACATTTAACACAGATTTGCTGGTCTTGAACCACTTTTTCATTTAGTTTCTTATGTTTTGTCTGTTTACTAAAGAAACTGTCATGGAGAACACAAGACGTGATAGGACGAACAGTTCTGTTTGTATCAGAGAAACAAAGACCCTCATACATAAGAGATTGTCATGCATCGTTCAGATTTTTGAGCCTGAACATTCATCTGTTTTGTCTTTCTTTTGCTTGTTAAATGATTTTATTTTCATAACCATTTTTATATTTTGTAAAAAGTGCAATGCCTTGGATTTTTATGCCACATCCACAGAAAACCTTGTAAAGTTTTCTAATGTTATTCTCACAGTTTTTTCTTTAATAAAAGGTTTAGACAGTTTTTCATTTGGACTGGTGTTTCGGAGAAGTTCCAAATACTATAATGGGATGCATGACTGTTTTTAAAGATGTCTATCAGATCATTTATGTGGCTTCCATAAACCCTGCATCGTGTCTTCCCTTCAATAAACAACTGTTTTATCTGTTCATGCACAAGTGACCTGAAAGTACTGGAACATGGGCCTATATTCACTTTCCTCCAAAGCTCACTTGAATTTGTTTTAGATCAGTACATGTGATTTTATGCCTTGGTAAAGTATGCACAGCCATTAGTTCAATGATGACATGAATGTTTTTGGGTGAGCTATCTCTTTAACAAGTCTTTTGTATACAAATAGTGCTACAAGGATGACATTCATAAGTCTTTTGTAGGCCAAAACCCAGAAACCAGGTCGCATTTCAGCACTTCTGGTTCAGTCGTCTTGAAGTCAGTGGGGGGGTTTTATGGGTTTTTGCTTGAAATAAGGCCTGTGGTTAACACAACTCCATCTTCACATTTTATTCTGCAACATAAAATACATCAGATTGTGATTTTTACATTTCATCACACCCAACAGGAAAACTCATCTACTTGCTAGTCAACTTTTACAGCTTCATTATGTTTATAATCGCTGTCTTGCTAACTCAAACTTTCAGGTAAAGGATTTTTAAAATAAACATTCTAATTACTAATTTGTTTTCCAATTTATCGTTTTGTTTTAATATTTTTTGTTTTATTTTTGCACTGAAATGTAAAAAAAAAGTGCAAATGAATTTGATTTTAAAAATTACAATAAAATTTTTTTTTTTTTATTTAATACATTTTAATATAATATAATAAAGCAATAAGCCCCAAGAAGCCGTGATTTACAGTGAATTTATAACAGCTGAAGTGGAGTAAAAACCTCCGTAAAACCTCTACGGCTGCTTTTATAAAACGGTTATTCCATATACGTAGTTAGGTTTCACAAAATAAAACAGAGCAAATAAAGTGTAATGATATTAATAATTAAACAGTATTCTTCCACCAAACAATGTAGCTCCTCAGAAACAGTTGTGGTTGTAACAAAGTGGTTGCCAAGCAACACACAAAGTAAACAAAGGTGTATGTTTGTAGAGTAATTTACAACAGCTTCGAACGCGGCTCAGCCAATCAGAATCAAGGACCAGAACTATCCGTTTTATAATTTGATATAATACAACATTTGCTTTTGGCCCATGGCCTCAATCGAGTTTGATTTTTGGCTCTTCGTATTAGTACTAGTAGTAATGTACATTTAAATACTGTGCATACTTACATTAATACACAATTAAACACTGACTGTTGCATCAACAATATGATGATATTCTAGCAATGATTTCCCACATTCGCCAACAAGATTTTAAGTGGCAGTAGGGTGACAAACGGAAAGCATAAAATCTTCAACAATATTCCAGTGATACCCAAAGACTCCAAACAAAGAGCACTGTTGTGCAAATGTCCCACAATAGCATATGAGAACCTAGTTGAAAATTTTTAATTTGCAATGAAATGACAAAAGCCAGGCATTAACCAGCTACATCCTTTCCCATGGTTTACATTGTAGTTGCATGCGCTAGCCATTTGTAAACCTCATCACAAATTTTGATCCCTTCTGCTTACATTTTAAAGGTTCCAAGTCTTTTGTGATCTCCAGCAGCAGGCACACTTTTAAAGTCTGCTTCAAAACACAAACTGACATTTGGGACTTGCAGCTGCTTTAGAGTCGAAGCCAAGATACCATTGATATCTTGTAAATGCGTTTGGCCAAAGAGACGTAAATATGCACATTTTAACAAGCCAGAAACACTAGCTTTAAGAGATAAACAAGTTAAAAGACTACTGTCATTCCCAACTACTGCTGTTAAAACCAAATGAATAGGGCACCAGGCCAGGATCTTTAATTATGCCAGTCCTCAAAAGTTAAAGTCTTTTACAGTACCTGGGTTCCCTCATGGACCTTAAGTGAGACATTACCAGGTTCTTTTCCAGAAACAACTGTTCTTTTACAAAACAACTTCCAACATATGGTAGAAATTAACTCTTGCGTTTTAAATCTTCCTCTTGCACACGTTTCACACGCTCCGTTCTATAATCTTAAACTGTCTCATTCGGTTTGCAGCCTTGTTAATGTGTTTAGCACTACATACAGTCAAATACAGTGGAAGACCTGCACCAAATGTTGCTTTCTATGAGCAATAATCCACACCTGGGCTTCATTTGGTAAACATTAAGGTAAATTCTTCTTAAATTTGGCCTGACTGTGAATTTTCTCAGTGACTGACGTTAAAGTTAGCAAGTGCTGTCAACCAAATAAATGTTAACAAGTGGCCGAGCACCACAGGCACATAACTTATCAGAGCCATGCAGTTTAGCATGGAAACAAAAACAATGAAATGATTACAAGTTTCTGCAAGGCAACAGATACAGCTAGATGAAAATCCTGAATAAATTATACTGCACTCTGCACAATAACATGGCAAAAACAACTAATTTAATAGCAATCCACAAGTCATAAAGAATATCGTATGGTAGGCTATCTGCAATCCTTCATTCTGATTGGTCAATAGCAGATGTCAGATTCTAATATTATGATATTCATAATATATATTAATTGTTGTCTATGGAAAAATACATCACATGTCTTTCGTATCACATCACACGCTCCCTCTCATATTTTTCACAAATATAGTACTGCCGCCTTTTTGCGTATCGGTTATCAGTTGCAGACGTCTTCAGAGATAATATTATATTGCCATTATATTGTTGCAATGTTCGTCTTGTTACTATGACGGTTATTTTGTACATTGCAATGGACTGTTTGGAACATTAGGCTACGTCCACACGAAGCCAGAGCTTTCCCTATCCGATCTTTTTTTTCACCTCATCTCAAGAAATATCTGCGTCCACACGAAACCGACACAAAACGATGTAGTATACATGCCAGACCAGCATGTGGCGCTGTAATTCTGCCACAGATATACACTAAAACCGGAGAAGAAGACTCGGACTATGCGCAGAAACCTTGCGCGCGGTATACAAACAAACATGGAACAATACATTTATTAATCTGTGTTAATGTTAGTTAATAAAAAGACAATCGTTCAGTGTTTGTTTATGTTTTTGTTGCTGTTACGTGACGTAGCGGTGTCTGACTAGGGGCGAGACGTGGGCTGAAGACGTCATCGTTTCAGAAAATATATAAGCTGTGTCTCATTTAGAAGGATTCGACCTCCGGAGGGCGCAGCCTTCTAAATGAGAAACAGCTATGGATTCGCTGTCCACACGAAAACGCAAGGGCGGCGTTTTCAGATTTATCCACTCCGGGTCCCGGTTTAAAAAAATATCGGTTTCACTCTCCCAAAACGCCGGATCCGTCTGGACGAAACGCCTATACGATACAAAATGTATGCGTATACAGCTAAACGCGTCTCCGTGTGGACGGGGCCTAAGGTAATATACAGGTAAAAATATACATGACCATAATACGTTAGATCAAAAGCATAATAGGGTAGAACGTGAATGTAAACGCACTCATTCACAGGGTTGTGGGGAAAGTAAGTGAACTTTACCTTGTTGTCGTTACCAGGATGATCCACAACTGTTTTTTGTTCTGTAAAGAATTTCATGAGTACCAGTTAAACTGTCAATTGTTCTTCAGAACAATTCTTCAGGTCCTGCACATTTGGTTTTCCAGCATATTCAACCCTTTACAACAGTGACTGAATGATTTTGAGATTAATCTTTTCACATTAAGAACAACTAATGAACTCATACACAACTATTAAAGATGGTGAAAACATTCACTGATGCTTAAGAATGAAACAAGGGGGTGTAAACTTTTTGAACAGGATGATGATGTGTAGTTCTGCCTCATTTTGTTAAAATATCATATTCTTTCATTTAGTACTGCCCTTCAGAATCTACAGATGCATGTTTCTGAGAAGACAAAATAAGTACATTTTACCCTAGTAAATAATAGATTTTCTGTGTGCTTGTTTGGCAAATAGCCAAGTATTAAGTGGGGTAATTAGCTATGGCAGTTATTGGAAAATAAACCCCAACTGGATGAGCTGCATGTCGACACAGAGCTAAACTGGCCCTTACATGCTTTATATAAGCTATTATTTGCATACAAATATGTGATGGGTGGTTGTGTCTGATAGCCAATTATAGCTGTGATTAATTTTCCACAGCCAATGTCTTATTGGCTCTGGATCTGTTTTGTAAGCCTGCACTCTCTCTTTTATGGCTGTCATTAAATACAGCTGTCAGATGATATATTCACACTTCTGCTCCCCCTTGGCGCATGTCTGCATTGCGATGGAGGTGTATGAAAAGTTAAGATATAGGCCTGTGCTGATTTGCAGAAAAAAAAAACTACTTGTGCTACCATTGAAGTATAATTTCCACTTTTTTTCTTAAGCCATAGAAACCATCTTGATATAATGTCAGCCAAGTTCTTCAGTTATGTCGTTACAGAAAAAGGGCATTTCATTATGACTTACAACAGGATGGGTAAATATTGTGTTCATGCTTGACATTGCTGGTTGAGTTTCAGTTTACCTTCAGAAATATTTGCTTGTCTGGTTGCAGGGTTCAAAGAGCTGCCCAAACAGCAATGGTCGGAATGGCAAGGGTGTTTGGTGTTCTGGAGAATCGCATGTGAATGTGAAAACAGTAAGTAGTTTCCATTAGACCAGGTTGGAAGTTCAGTATCCTGGAAGGCAAGTAAAAAGGCTTTGAGCTCCTAACATAAACCAGCACCTTTATGACACAGACACTCGTGACTGCTTGAGTTAACAGCTGAAAGCTCTGCCGTAGCTTCTCGGTAACATAAAGCGTAAGAGTTTATCTCTGACATTCAGGTTTGTACATGGGCTCAGGGTGCAAAAATGTCTTGTACTGACTCCACTCACCCGTTGACATTTATCAGGTTCACAATGAGTACAGCCCAGTTATAATTCTAATAATGAATCAATGAATAGCAGGTCATGCTCTGTGGAAAGAACAGAACTCCATAGATGTTCATAAATTAATAATCCAAAGGTGTGGCATGCCAAATCCCTAGTTTTTCCAGAACTTAATGGTTCTCCAACTGCTGAGGGTGTGTGCCTTTACAGCACAGAAGCCAGACCTCCCACTGTGCCTAAACCACAGTTTTATATACGGCCTGCTGCTAGACACAATTTTCAGAGTTCCCCCACTGTTTGCTGTTGCCATGTAAGCATTAAATATCTTTTATACTCTTATCGCTAATGGTTGACGATATATGGTTGGTTCACTTTATAATTCAAGCTGAATCAATCCACTGTCTGAAGAACAGACAAACGGACAGTGAGTAAATTATGACAGAATTTAAATTTTTGGGTGGACTATACCAATTCTCTGAACTATAGCACACTAGTTCAGAGAATTAGAGGACACTGAATAAAGAACAGCAGTGGTTGCAGATAGATGAATAAAGCAAAACTGCACTCATGTACAACTCACAAGCGAAATAAGTATTAAATTAGCTGAATGTTACAGAAGCAATTATATCATCTGTACAATGGCGACCTCTACTGGAAAGTATTCTCTGTTACGACATTAAATAGCTTAATGTGTTACTAAAAAAAATTGTAATGGAAAATACAATATATAGATTTTATTTTAATAGAATATAAAAATATATAGAATATAATACTTAAAATAACAATATAGCCTACTTATATTAATAATGTTTTATTTTATTAACACTAATTAATAATAATAAGAATACTTATATAT